TCCCCGATGAGCTGCGAGCATGTGGCTTGAAGACCAAGCTGGACCGAGATTTGCTATGCTCTCGAATTCGTTATTATGCCCATTGCTCGCAGCAAACATTCCCAATACTGCAGGAACATGTTCGCATGTTGCTTTCCTTACCATGTCCATCAATTGGCACTTTTGACGACGCCTCAGTTTCTGACGTGCGTGACTCAACATGGATCCCTATCAAGACTGAAGGTTCGTTCCTCTTAGAACCACCCAGAAGATGCCGATGGCGTGACGATAAGTTACTTGTCGATACACAAATGCCAATATATAGCCAGAAGCCGTCCCTATCCAAAGATTGGCGGACTTTGCTCGGCTGGAACGAGGTTTTGCCCTCTCATGTTCTTGTTTCTCAACTTCGTCATGGCATCGAAAAGCAAAACACACAGATAGTCAACGCAATCCTCCATTACATGGCCGCAAAGAAAGAGCCTTCGCAATGGAATCAGGATCTTCGTAGTATCCCATTCGTTTTGGCTCATGGTACGACAGAGTTTGTCACAACAGAAAATGTACTTTGCCCTCCGAAAGCCATCCGATTTAGTTGCGAGCGTCTTTGGCCATACCTTACCAATGTTGACCGGAGTTTCTGGCAAGAACACGAACGAATTTTGCGGCATTTCGGAATTTCTGAAGGTCCAAAGGCCGACGACCTTCTAGGCCTCTTGAATAGGCTCCACAATAAAACGGAAGAGACACAAACGCCATTAAACAAGTCAGATTTATCAGTTGCTGTCGAGGCAGTGAAGCTTGTCAGCCGAGAACCAAGGGAATTGCTCCAAGGGATCAAAATTCCAAATACCAAAGGATATCTTATTCCTATCGAAAAGATATGCTACCTCGACAGAGCAGACATTGCCCTCACCAATCCACCTGATATCACACATTCAGAGCTTCCATCTTCTACAATTCAAGAAGCACTGAAAATAGAACCACTGAATGAATGGGTAATTAGGGGCATATTGAAGATCGAAGAGGACGAAGATTTGTTTGACCAACATGAAGAAACAACCACCCGCATTAGAGATACTTTAAGTCGGTACTCGATCGACAGCACTTTTAGAGAGTATCTAGCAAAGTAAGTAAATTCATTTTCTCGTTTCAAGACCTAGAATAAGCGAAAAGAGGCAAGGGGATATTATGAGAATTGGAAGCAATTCTTTGACCGTCCGGCACTACTCGAGTAATTAAAACAATTATGCCAAGAATTTAGAATGATCGGAGTCGATCTTCTCAATGGACTTGCATAGTTATCAAGATTATACTGAGTTTTGAGCATATCCAGCGGATTCTTTGTTTTCTGACTCTGATACATGCCTCCTTCCAAGACCCATTCATTTTACTTACATACTGGTCCTCTAGTGCCGACGACGCACGTTCTGCCACCAAAATCAGCTGGCTTTTGGACAAGCGCACACACCCTTCGAAAAAGCTTGTTTCAAAGAATTTAGAATCATACCAAGGGCCAGCTTTGCTTGTGTACAACGACGGTATTTTCAGCGAAAAGAATTTTGAGGGATTTCGAAATGTCGGTGTAGGCAGCAAGCAACAAGATGCTACAAGTATCGGACAATTTGGTAGAGGATCGCAGACAATGTACCATTGGACAGATGTTCCTATGGTACTTTCCAAGAACTATCCCGTCATTCTTGATCCTCGACAAACCTCGCTGAATATTAACCCTCATACTGGAAAGCGCAAACCTGGGGTCAAAATTGAGTTATTACTGCTCAAACAATTTCCCGATCAACTGGCCCCATTCGACGGACTTTGGGATTTTGAGAAAACTATGGATACCTTTCCAGGTACCATTTTCCGCTTTCCACTGCGACAAGGCAGTTCTGAATTGATGCCTATGTCCAATTCTCCAGCTCTAACGCCTGAACTGGTGACTCAAAAGCTCGGAGACTACTTCCATGAAGCACGCAAATCTTTATTGTTTCTAAAGCGTATTGAAACAATCGAGTTCAGAATTCAGGACAATCTGACCAGCGGCTGGTCCGTTTATAGACCCCCGCCGCAGCCCGACGCCCCCATAACCCAGTTCTTGTGCTCATATACGAGACAGTCAGGCTTCAAACAAGAATTCTCAGGCCAAGACGAATGGTGTGTAGCAACGGAGGATCTGGATAAGCGACCAACTTTATGTGACTCGGGTAGCCATATTGTTCAAAAAAACATTGAGTGCTCTGTCGCTGTGTTGATTTCATCAGAAGCAAAATTGCCGAGCCTACACGTAAAGCCTCCAAAAACTCCAAGACCCGGATTTTTTAAGACTCTTCCACTCCAAATTCCCTCAGATGTACCCGTCCATATCCATGCGACATTCGATATGAGTGGTGATCGACAATCAGTAGACTTGGATGCAGAAAGACACCCCGAATATGCCATTTACAATAAGCACCTTCTGCAAGAGGTTATACCTGAGGTGTATTTGGGACTCATGGCCCATTTAGCAATGACCCTTCGCCCCCAGTACGATGTATTTCAATTCTGGCCCAAAAAACCTGCTGTAAGCAAACTCAACTGTTCCGACTTAATTGCTTCTGCATTTTGGGACAAACTCGACGGGAACTTGAACAGTCTTTTCCGAAAGGCTTCTCTGACCACGGGGAACAGAAGAAAGCTCCCGGATCCACCATTTAGACTCAGGGAAGCAGTGTTCGACTTCTTGCCAAGAGAACAGTCAGATCTGCTAGCGCCGCTATTGTTGGCTTCTGGTATTAATCTTGTCCGGGAGATTCCTGAGTACTTTAAGGAGTCCCTCGTTGAACTAGGTGTGCAGGAAATCTCGGGCGAACTCCTTCGCAAACTTTTCAAGTGGGGTCTTGCCTCGAAGTATTTAGAAGGCCAGCAAAACAAAAACAACCCTGTTTTGTCGGCCATCTTTACGATTATCATTCCTGACTCGCCAGACCAATTCGAAGAGCTCGATGGATGTCACATATTGCCTGTCATAGATGGAACCCTCGCAGAGATTGCGCTGCTCGATAAAGAAGAAAAGAAGACTACTTACTATCTTGCTTCGGAAGCAGAAGCTACGCTTTTCGACTTTGCGTCTTCTTTACTCGTGCCACCATCCTATCATAAGACCTTCAGGCCTCTTGTATTTACGGAGAAATTCAACCTTGCTGATCTTGAGCCTTGTAGCATTGGTCACCTCTTGAAACTGCGACATAAATCCCTTACAGACGTATGGCTCAACGGCTTTTGGAAGTACTGCAATGCGCTTTTCGAAAGGGACAAAAAGGCTTCATCTATAACCGAAGATGATATCAAGAGTCTTGGGGTTGTTTTCAAGTCCACTTGCAATGGCATCGAGCAGTACAAGCAATTCTCTGATCTTGGCATATTGCCAGCAATTGTTGATCCCGATGATATGGAACAGCGAAAGTTGTGTAGTAAGATTCCAGGTCTTCATATATTTGATAGGAGTCTGATGCACCACCAACTGAAGGAAATCGAGGCTTCTTTGTTGAGTAGTGCTTCGTTTCTTCGCTTCATACAAGCTCTCCGAAAGCTGAGCATACAAAAACATCACCCTAGTGTCGGGCAGTTTCTTAGACAGTACTTGAATGACGATGATCTTAAGGTAATTCCCCACCCCCAGAGTTTATACTCCTCTTCTCTGTTGAACGGGTGCTAACTGCTATGAACAGCTGCTTGGGGAGATTTTTATTTGCCATATCGATTCGGGGGTGCTTGATGCTGTCAAAAGTGATTTGCGTACGATTCCACTTTGGCCACGATTGGGAACGATGACCGCTGTTGCCAGCTGTGATGCATTGATAGCTGAGGATTCCAAGTTTCTGGTGCCTTGGATGAAACGTTCGTCACAAGTTCTAGACCCAAGCTTTTCTAGTGCTCACCGAGTCTGCCTCGAGCTGCTTGGTGTGGAGACGTTTTCAAAATTCAAACTACTCCAGAATTGTATCCTGCCATTTCCTTCCACCATGAGCGCATCCAACTGGCAAGAATACCAAACTTTCATCCACAATATGCGATTATTTTGCTATGATTACGACTTACGCAGCGTTTTTGTGGGCTCATCTATAGCTCCGGATCAGAAGCGTAATTGGCGTCAACCGAAAGATCTTTATGACCACAACGACACAATCTTCAAGGCGGCCTTTAGACACAAGCCCGATGAGCGCTTCATTCATACCGATGTACGTATGCAAGACTTTCCGCAATTTTGGCTGATGCTTGGTCTCCGACATCGGAAACAAGGAGTCTTCGATCCAAGGGACTACCAAGAATGCATTTCCTCCATTGGCCGCCGTCTTCAAACAAGCACTATCGATGGTCCTCTCCTTGAAGACGTTCAGACTGTGTTGAATCCCTTAACAAATGACAGCCAAGAAGTACTTCATCTCTTTCATAGCAGTCAATGGACCTATATTTCGGCCTGGAAGGTTTTCCCATCGCGAAACAATTTTGGTTTGGAGCCGGAGTACCGGAAAAGTGGTATGCAGCAACTTGCACAAAAGACTCCCCTTTTGTCTTTGTCAAATGTAGTGGCGTATAAGTACGCTTCGATCTGCTGGAGCCAGACTGCATTTCCCGGAGAAGGCTACGAACCTACCGAAAGAACTTTGAGCTTAGCAAATCTTCAGTTAAAAGGAAAGCCATCATTGGATCTTGTATGGATGCATCTCAAAAACTTGAGCGGCTTGGGATCTAGTTTGTGACCAGTCTTTACTCAGGATTTTCTGAACGATCTTCATGCAACTTACACATATCTTCAGGATCACCTAGATTACCAATCACCTCTTCCGACTTCAGTAAATACCAAGGTGGAGCCTTTGTGGTTAAACATTGCATCGAGCCCATGGGACTTTGCGACAGTGGAAACTGTAAGTGGATCATGGGTTAAAATTACCGACCTAGTGTTGTCAAGCTCTTGCGATGCAGGAAGTATACAAGCCATAAAGCCAAGCTTGACGCAATATGAGAGATTGTGAAAAGCCATGGGCTGCAGATTCGTCATACATCCTGTCGTTGACCTCCCCGCGCTGGAACTTGACCACGATATTGGGGAAGCGCTCAGAGGAATGAGACAATCCGGCGATGGATTGGACATCACTTTTCAATCGGAGGGGAAGGAAATCAGAGCGCACCGTCTTGTGCTGGGAGTTATATCCAACAAATGGAAGAGACAGTCGTATGGCCATTTTCCCCTTGAAGGCATTATCCAATTTTCTGAGGATGACCCCGAAACTTTCATATCATACCACACATTGTCTGTGATGATTGACTATGCGTATGGAGAAAAGATTGACTGGACATCCATGGAAGTCACGGAAGCAGAAAAATACGACATTGACGCAAAGGCGGAGAAATTGAATCTCTTACTCGACACTTGCCACGGCGCCGAATTCTGGCTTTTTCCAAATTTGAAAGTTATCGCGGAGACAAAGATTCTTACCTCTGGCAGACAGTTGATCACAGTTGAGAATGTTTTCGTTGTATTGGAGCGTGCGAAGGAAGCGAACGCAAAGGCACTAATCAAATTGTGTAACGACTTTATTGAGCAGAACCGCGAGACTGTGGAAAGAGCAAAGAAACAGTCTCAGGAGTGATTCTAGGTGCATATTAATACAGAAAGAAATAGGGAAATGGGTCATCCGTTTGAGGTGTTTTCAGATTGATAAATTGATGAAGCAAAACTTTTACAAGCCATATTTTGATTTCTATTGTGACAGTGCCACGCTACGTTGATCGAAGCCCCATCAGTCAAGTATTAGTTTTCCGTAATTGATGGTTGAATTTGAATTCCTGCTTGAGTTCATGTTCTTGGAATCTAAGGACTCGTCGACTACATTATTAGTTCTCATACCCCACATTAGTATAACATGGCTCAGAGTGGTGGCCAGAATCTGGCTACGTTAAATTTAGTTATATACTCAGTAATCCACTCGGGCATACCCCGGAAAACCGAGCAATTATTATTGGGGGAGAAGTAATTTAAAAGAATCCCTTATCTGTAAAGTTGCTGCTTAGATTACAATAGAAATTTGCCACTCGCTTAGCTAAGTCGCTTAGCACGCCGCACCATCAACTTCCGATCCCCGGGGGCACCACCTTTTCATTTGTCTTTTTATTAACCAAGACTCCCCCCTCCCCCGCCTCCATACTTTGAAGATCCGTCGGAGTCACCAGCAAGCCAGTCAGCCATGGCACCAACAACGATCGCTGAGCAGCAAAAGCTGGTGAAAGCTATCTGCAACAAATTCATCTCCCACCCAGTCACACCCTGGAAACCAATTTCCCAGCATCAGAAAGATAAATCTCGCGACCCACCCGCAAGAGGTCCTATCTGGATCAGCAGAACTTCCTTCCCAGCACCACCAGAGGAGGAGAACGATTTATGTGAGGCCTTATTTCGAGTCTGCCAACAACTCAAGCAACCCCACCAGACCGTCGCAGCACAATCTGAAGCTCCATTGCGTGAGATCGGCCTCAAATTTATCGGCAATCGCATTGGAGTCGCGTCAAACGCGCCTGAACCAGACATAACAGAATTGGAGACGCTACAAGCTTTGGAAAGTGAATGTGAGGCAGACTTCACCATTTTGTACTTTCACGGAGGATTTTATTTCAGCAGCCCGCCACAATACCGTGTCTCAACATGTCGCCTTGTGCGGAAGACCAAAGCTCGAGTCGCTGCTATTCGCTATCGATTGTCACCCCAAAATATCTTCCCCGGGCGCCCTTCTTGATGCGTTGGTCGCATATGCAAGTCTCATATACCCTCCACCAGGATCATCACATACTGCGGTTCCCGCAAACAAGATCGTGCTCGGTGGTGATAGTGCAGGTGGAAGTCTTTGCTTCAGTTTGGTCAAAGTTCTTCTTGAGCTCAACAAGCAAGCCTTGAAGCCGCTACTCTTCCATGGCAACCAGGTTTCTCTCCCTGTTCCAGCTGGACTCGCAGTATGTAGCGCATGGGCTGATACGTGCGATATTATGCCCTCATGGCACAAGCCAGACGTCTTAGATATTTATGGCAGTGTCAACCCCGCTCTTGTCCCTGGTTTCCCGACCGACAATATCTGGCCTTCCACACCACCACGAGAACACCTATACTGTGCGGCCTCAACACTAGATCACGAATTGGTCACACCGGCAGCAGTGAAGGATTGGACTGGAGCGCCACCAATGCGGTTCACATGCGGCGCGTTCGAACGGAACATTGATGGAAACAAAGCAGTCGCGGCCCAAGCAGCAAAGTGTGGCGTAACTGTTCAATGGAATGAATATGAGGGCATGTTTCATGAGTTTATGGTCATTGCTAGCAGCTTTCCACAAACAAAACACTGTGAGTATCCACTTTCTTCTACCAACTTGCTTTCCATCTCTTCAATACACGCAGAGATTCATGCTGACCCCAAGATATTGTAGGTTACGATAATTGGGCCAAGGCCTGCGCAGATCTGGCTGATGGAAAAATGGAAGTGCCGCACGCTATTAGTTTCAAAATTCCTAATTTTAAAGAATCTGACAATCTTGGGAGGGTTACTGATCTGTCACCTCTTCCTTTCGATGAAATGAGAAGACGAATGCTTGTTGGAAACCCTGAGCGAGAAGTTTTAACTGGAAGAAAACCTTTGAAGAGACATAGCAAGCTTTAGACTGTTGGAAGAATTGAAAAATGGAGAGTTTAGATATGCTGGAAGATCATATCATGCTCAGAGTAAAGAATTGGCAATAAATTCATGTTTGAGCAATTTGTTGCATGAGTCTCGAGCAATCTGTCCATATGCACTTGATATACTTTATAAATCGTTTGTTTTGTGTCAAGTTCAGGACCTTCTTCGTCAATATCCCATCTTTCTTTCTGAATTCATCGCGCTGAAAGCTTGGCGACAAAACTAATATTTTAATCGTTAATAGGTTTTCCACTTTCTTTGAGCCTGAACACTTAGTCGAGAAATTGCTGAAATCTCCAAGGTCATACTTGTCGGATAGAATGGTGGGATAATATAGGTGAATATCGGATGCCATGAGTAAAGGAGACACACACAATAAAGACAACAAAATAGGTTATAGGTAGAACTTTATTAAAACGTGGTTAAACATGTGATTATATCGTGCGGGTAAGACTACTACCTAAATTTGGTCAATTCTATCAATAACGATTGATTCATTCGTAAAAGTGGTGGCTATCCCTTCCTTTGATGAACACTGCTTGTCAAGTTGAAACAATTCTACCTCTCAGTTTGAGACACATTGCAGCAGCCACATACCCGAAACTCCTCAGATCCAAGCTCCCCTTCTTACCACTATCAAAAGCCTTAGGTTTGTCATGAAAAAAACACCAGAAGCAGGCTGTACTGATACGCACGCTTAGAATATCACAATCAATGGCCAAAGGCTCGTTTTGGAAGAAGTATTCGTCTTGCAAGGTCATCCGTTTCACAGTCAATGAAAAGAGATCTTCAAATCTTTCTTTCATAGACATCGATATTTCGCGTTGGCGGGATGTTGGAGCACCTGCTTTGCCGAGGATGTTGCCTATGAAAACTTCAATTTCAGAAATAGGGAGGTGGGGACTCGGTCCGTATTGAAACATCAAATCTAGGAGGGAGGCTTCGTGTCTACAAAACAGATTAGTGGTGCAAAGTAGCTGAGGCAATTATATGAGAGTTTGTACTCTTCGCGAATTGCTCTAGCCCTCCCTTTATAAATTTCCCAAGCCTTTCCAGGCATTTTTGGATCGGTTTTGTAAAAGCTCTCCATCCACAACGAAATGTGATGTAACAAAGATGTGGTTCTATTCCAGTGTTTCCTCGACGAGGTAGTCTTTGAAATTCTGTTGTTGTGCAGACGCTTGATGACTTCGTTCTCGTCGACAGCATCAAATAATTTACCTAAAACACGGGTGCTGTGATAGTACTTGAAGGTTACGAAATCTTCGTCGTCATCTGCGTTAATACCGTTCGATCCATCCTCGCTTACGAAGGAAATAGACTTGTTCTTAAGGATCTCCACGTGTAGTCCAGGTGCCATAAAGTGGGGCCTGATGCGACTGTATTTGGGCATTTCATTCATTCTCACCTACGACGAATTCAAAATCAGCAATGAACCAGTGATAGGAGATGAGAATCGGCCTACAGGAATTCACGTTTTGGAAAAATTAACAGCAGTAGATGCCATTTCGGCCAGCTTGATACAACGGGGGTCAATAATACCTTCTAAACTTCCATCGGCTATCATCTTATGAGCGTTGCAAATGCGACCGAGTTGATCAGTTTCCATGAATTCAATAAAGAACTTCGTCATGTCTTCCCGTTCGACGGCTCGATTTAGTTCTCGGGGAACTTGTCGAGAGTATTCTGCAGGGCGATATGTGGGCCGCGTGAGCCTCGCATTTGGGTCAAATATTACATGGTAAAGATCTCCATCGAGATCCCCCCCACTCAGTATACTGGGAAGATCTCTGGCACCTTTTTGACTAAAGCAAATGCAGTTGCGAAGTTGCAAGAGTGGTGACCATAAAGGTACAGTGACAGCGTATGCAGTTTGAACGTCTCCTAAAGGAAAGATGTGAGTCAGCACCATCTTTTCAGTGAAGATTCAGGGTTAATTCAGTCTCATGGAGATGAATGGCCCCGAATCGCCCGGAGGAATCTTAATGAGGATAAAAATTGCAGAGATTACCCACCTGGATGTAGTGCGGGCGATCTTGAAATAATGATTGGGCGTCCGGCTTCTCCAGTTATGACTTTGGAAACGCCATCTATATCTGCTATACAGAACACCTGGCCTTCTTCGAGGATTCCAGTCTCATCCATGATTCCTAAAAGTGTGAAGCCTTTTCGCACAGGAATTCTAGCCTTATATTTTAGGGTCCGTAACTGAATGAGTACAGCCGTTTCAACGACCCTTGTGAGAAAGTCGTCTTCTTGGAAGGAAACACGATAGTTGACCAAAACTTTCAAAAACCGTGGCAACCCGATTTTGTCGCCAATGGAATGGGATGAGAGAAATTGAGAGGCATTGTTGGCTGTCAAAGTGGTCGAGTAAAGTCGCTCGATCTCAGTTCTTTGGAGGTCGAGAAACCATTTATTCTCAATGCCTAGCACCTCTAAGATTGGTATCAGCTGCTCGTTCAGATAGAGAGTGATCGGCTTATAAGCCGCTGTGCATATTTCCAAATCAGCTGAATTAGAGCCTCGGAATTTTGTCATTGAGTTTCGTAAGCACAGTTGAGAGCCGACAAGGCGAGTATCTAGCGAAAGCACGCCTTTTGCTCCTTTTGTTCAAAGTCAGTACCTGGTACCACATGATGACCTTTATACTATCGAATAGCTTTAAAGTGAGATGAGTCTTCGAGCGTCGTACTCACCTTGATATCTAAGTTGAAGAACTGTGGGACTCTTGCCCGGAGGAAGGCCTGCCCATATTAAGTACAGAGCTTGTCTCGAGACAATTCCACATCCGTCACTGAAAGTTCGACCATTTCTCTCTACATCAGGAATCTCTCTCTTGATATCAAGTGGTAACCTTATTGCATCCCTAGTATCACTAAACGCTTGACCTATGCGAGCGGCGCATCTTGCTGGAATCCGAATGTTCTTGAAGTCGCCCAACCCTGATATGACCTGTTTGTAGTACAAAAGCGAACCTTCATGAGCGAAAGGAGCCATGAACCAGCAAGATTGAGAACGAAGTGAGGAATGAGAAAACCCGAGGAAAGAAAATTGCCGACCCGCAATGGAAATCCCGTCGTCCAAGATCTTTTGGAACCTGTCGAATATTGGCTTGTTGGAAGTATTTTTGCTGAAGGCCAACCGATTTCCGTCTTCGTCGCTAAATTGGACTCGCAGAAAGAATTCATGGTGTCCAGAATACTTTCTGAGAACTCGATTATTGTTTTCTGCTTCCGGGCCCCAAAGAGAGATTCCAGCAGCGGTAACGCGTGCTTTGTGAATGATAGCAACCGTCTTCGATGCCTCGGTAGACTCTTCTAGATACAATCCATGCTTAGCTATTTGCTCTTCAAATTCCGACATTACATCTCTTAATTTAGAGATCTTAAAACAGTAATATGAGCATCAGGCGTTGCCCAGGGAATATGCCGAAACAGCATTTTGACTACTGTAAGGGCAACCAGCTCCCCCGAGCGTGAAAATATCTGTTGAACGTGGGGAATAAGTTTCAGAACACTGCCTATTGGTAAATACCCGTTTTGGGCAAGCTTTTGTAGTTGGTAGCGAAGGGAATAGGTGAGTTTGGTTGCAGTAGGCGTCAAGCTGACAGTCAAGCGCTTGAGTTCGCGGGGGAAAGAAAAGACTTCAGCATCGGGAGGTACCATAACATGAACGAGTCGACGCATGATAGTGGGTAATCTGTGAATTCGGCCCAAAGAATTGATTATTTGGGTATCATCGGTGTCATACGCAAGCATGATCCTGTAAACCAAACAAATCCCAGATATCTTCTCGTGATCTTCATCCAAGCCAGGGACTCGTTCTCTTTCAAAATTGACGGAGTCAGCATTAGTGTAAATCCTCGCCGAGAAGTGCGGAGATGATCTGAAGGCAATCGTGAAGTTGGTTGCTAACGTCTGTGGAGATTGACTTAGAATAATGGATTCAATGCTGTTGTACGGTATATCGAGCCGCCTGAAATCTCCCATCTCGTATTGGATATGCGTAACCTTGAAAAGCAACTTCGCGGACTGTTGCAAAGCAAAAAACGAACGGAAAGCAAGAATCGAGTCATAACATTCCCAACTACCACATTGGATAGCAGAGGACAAAAAGGCTCTTTGGTGCTTCAGGAAATCTGTTTCTGGAGCATTTTTCGGCACGCTCTTCTCCTGAACTTTCTTTTGTTGGTCCATGGCCAGGCTCCGCACAGCTAGAAGATCAATTGGTTTGTGGCTCTGACAAGATACAAGATTTTGACCATTGAACTGGAGCCATTCGGCACTAGGCTCCATGAAAAACCTTCCAGACGGACCTTTGACCGCTCCATGTTTCCTTAGGAAATTACTGCCTTTACTGGGTCGGAGGAAAACGATAATCGCAAAGGGCGCCCGTCCAATCTTCTGGCAAGCCCAATCTTCGATACCCAGACGCTCCATGACGCCTGTTAAGAATTTATTCAAGCTTTTTTCGGTTGCCGTGTTAGTAACACCTCGAACAAACACCTCGAACCCGCTGAACTCGGAAACATTTCCCATGTTGCCCACGATATTTGGATTTGCGGAAACTGTGTTCGGAAGAATGGTTCATAAAGATCGACTATGGTACACTTAACAGCAGGCTCCCATTCGCACGGAAGCAGACGAGTTACCAGTATGAAATTATATGCAACAGAACCTACGTCAACAAAGGTGCTATCAAGCAATTCGTGGAAACTAGCACTTCAAGAAAAGTACAAGGTAATAAATTTCCTCTTCAACGTCGAAGTTGCGGAGAACCGACTGGGAAGGTGGGGTGCAAACGGGTTCTGATTGCGGCTGGGGGGACCTGGGTAACAGTATCACCTGATATTTTTCAATCCTACCACCTTTTGACTCTTGGATCCATACGCCGTCACAAGACTGACGCAAACTATGGTCTTCGCGACCTCTCGGGAGTGTTTCCATAAAACCGCAAATTTGAATCCCAGATGTCACGTGACAATATCTTGCGAAACATCCAATGTCCATATGGCTAGGGTGTTTGCATGTTCCATACATAAAGCCTGCAAAGGTCGCTTGCAAAAATAATGGCCCATCAAGAGAGTGTAAACCAATTGTCTTTAGGATCTCTGATCCGAATTTCCCCTATCTATTTCTCGCTTACAGCAAAGCACTCCCTTCCAAATCTGGCATAACCCCTTCGAAGATAAGTATACGGCCTTTTTATGTCTCCGCTATTGAATTTTTCCCTGTCATGGTGCACAATATGATATGTCGTTTCACCTAATACTCGTAAAAGTCGTCACAAGGCAGTGAAGCAATCAGTCCTTTTTGGAATTTTCTAATTGCTTAGAGAAGAGAAGGCAGCTAGCTAGACTTCACAAACACTTATATGCTAGTACCAGGTCACTTAAATAATAACCGTGTGGATATTTCGATAACATGGATTAAAATTGGTGCATAGCTCTTTGCGTTTTCCCAGATCATCAGAGAAGACTGAACTGCAAACTAGCTCCATTTGTTGAAACGACCCCTACTAATGCTATTCTTCAGAGAGCTTCCTGTTTTATTCTTATAAGCCCCTATTAAAACGGCCGCCTATTAGAACACCTAAAACTTCATCATCTCATTCATCATTCTACTATGCTGCAAGTTCAAACAATCAGTCCACGAGAAAATAATTAGGCCAATTCAATAGTTGTCATTACTGTCATTATTCATGCGTGCCAAATCTCGGCTAACTCTAACGCCATCCTTAAGCAACGATGAACATGCCAAACAATGCATTCCATGTTTGTCCCAACCCGCTCGCTCAAAACGCCGAACTAATTTCGAAAGAGAGGCAAGATAAGCAAGCTCCAACCTCACTCTCCACTCCTCTGATCAACCGCAAACCCATTCAAAAACCTTCCCATATCCCTCCCATTTCCAACGTCACTCCCATCAACCAACTCTTCATACCCCCGCAATCCACCGAAATGCTCTTGATTTCTCCCACCTAAAGCACCTATGCCCACATCATCATAAGGCGTCCCCCCAATACTAATCAACCCAATATGCCCCCCATTCCAACTCCCCTTCGAGCTTTTTGAACCCTTTGAGCTCGGAGGTAATGGCGAATGCGGCCATTTCGGGGTCACCGACGCACTATTCGAGTCACTGACTCCCCGTCTCTCGACGATACTTCGGAAGGAAGATGCGAGAAATGTAGATATACGAGAGGGAGCGATGTACCGTTTGAAAAAAGATGCTGTGCCCGGGACGCAGGCGACTATTATGGCAACGTGGTTTTCCACTAGACTTTGGATGGTGAAGTTAGTTTGGGTTTAGATCTTTTGGTTGGAGTGAGGGAAAGGAGCGGGGTAGGCACTTCGTTATTGTAGCTTGCCAGGTGGTGTATAGCAAATCTTTCGGTTGGCGAAGCGTTATTCTGTAGATCAGATTCAAGATGGCGCACACCACGGCCCTATATCCCCTGTGTTAGTAACCCCCTTTTGTCGCTCATTTTCAAGCTCTCTTTTCGAGTCTCACTTACAAACTCGCAGTCCCAAAAACAAAAATCAACCCAACCTTCTTATTTTTCGACAAATGCAGCCGTCTCAACAGCGGCATCGGAAGTATCAAAATAAATAAGTCAAGAATGACACCCATGACCGTAGCGAAGATTTGCCAATCTGCAAACTTCGAGCATCTTATAAGCGATTTGAGTCCCCAATCTTCACCAATGTGAGGAGCGCAGTACCAGTTTATGGTGACGATGAAGGGGCCGTAGGTGACTATGGTCCACGCGATTCCTCCATAAATTAGGTATCGAACTTCTTTTTTCACGGTAAAAATTCGGAGATAAAGAAGCAGGATGGAGAATTTGGCGAAGAGGATGGAGGGATAGGCTACCATTGTTTGGGCGTAAGCGTATCTCTGTTCTTGATTAGAGGGGCTGAGGTAGGAGGGAGGTGGAAAGTTACTTTGATATAGCTTGAATCGAGCCATGATAACGGTACGTCCCAACTGTGCCGCGCATATTTGGTAACTATTAAGCTTCAGTACCCCTCTACAAAGTTCGTTTTAAGCATCTGCTTCTTACGCGTGAGTATTAAAATTGTCTGCGCATTCCCCAGAACAGCAGCAAAGAATATGAACACTGTGTGGTACAATCAGCCGACCGAAGAGAAAAACTTGTAAAACACGAAAACCCACAATCATCAAGAGAGAAACCAGCTGTAGCCTTGGAAAATAATCTGCAAATGACAAAAAGAACATTAAATCCGATCAAAATGGAGAAGATCACAATGCTGACAAGTTCCAGCGACGGCGGGTCGACGGCATTCGACGTCTTTCCTGGCGGAGGCTGACCCATATAGATGACCCCGTCTTGTAGAGACATGTTCTGCTGGCATTCAGCTTTCGCTGACCAATTGTACAAGACGAAAAAGAGCTGTGAGGTTTGGCGTAACCCCAATTATGAAACTTATCTGTTGCGATATGGAAGGGGAGGACAATTCAATATGGAGAAATGATACAAGCGGGTATTGGGAACCTTAAAACGGCGCTAGTGACACAATATTGGGAAGTGGGTGAATGGCCAATAACTTGACATTGTCTGATGAAATTCATGACGCGCATCAAGCTCTTATCTACACAGTGAAATCAGGTCATCCACAGACTGACAAACGTATTGCCACGGCTTGCCCGCCTTTCATATATAGAATGATTTCTTGTGTATTACGGCGGGCTGAAAAACTTTCGTGTGATTGGATAGAAGAAAGTCATGGCTTTTGCTAGGAGCAGGGACTTGGTATCTCTACGCGAAGCTGACATCGTATAAATAGAACTATTAGGTCAGACATAGGAAAAGATAAAAGAAGAGGTAGCGAAGAGTGGAGAAAGGATAGCTTATAGTAAAAAAGGAACGGGGTAAAGAAAAAGGAAGATGGAGAGTGATAGGATGACTTGATTCATTTCCTCACTTCAGGCGACCGCACACGCGCTTACTGGATAAGCACTTGAAGACGCCCACATTCTCTCGAATCTTCTGGGAGTATGTAGATCTAGATCTGATGTGCCTGCTGCTTTCCACGATTATAAAAAGTTTCGTATGCCTTGGACAAATTTTGTCCAGATCTATGGTCAGATACAGAGAGGGCAGTTTGACTTGCACATAAGCGATATCGGCTTGGTTCTGAAATTTTTTCAGGCGGCCATTGATGTTTTTTGATCAGAAAGATTTGGAACTTTGGTTTGGATGTGGAATTGAACATGGCGCATATGCCGATGCAGAGCAAGTTAGAAAGACAAATATGAAAAGATTTGTATTAATTGATTATATCAATCTTAGCCCTTTGAACTGCCATTTAAATTGTTGTCGCCCAAGGCCCCAAAGTTTTATATATACCATTTCCCTTCACGTGGCCCTTCTACTTCCCTACTTGTAAATGTACAATGCCCTATATTTCGACCCCTTTCTCGGACCACTGCTCCCCAACTTACCTTCCTTAATTCTGCTCCCTCGTCTCCTTGAATATTATGGCAAGCAGCTGCAATAGCTAAGCTATTGTTTGCCACAAGTACACAAGGCTTTAACCTTCTGAGCCCATTTAATATTAGACAAAGAACCATTATCAGGCCAAACAAGGTAGCGAACAACCACGCAAGGGGTGAGTAAGCGAGTTGCATAAAAGAAATTGGTTCCAGCTCCCCGTTCGTGTTTAAAATCTCTGTTCGTGTAATGAAAAGCGATTGTGAGACTAGATAATGTAGTATTGCGTTCGCTGCAGCGACAGGAAGAGCGTAGGTCAAAGGTAGGCTAAGCCAGTAGGTAGAACGTTGCTGTCCTCTCGGCATTGTTGTTCGAAGAGCTTTTCGATGGCTTGTAAATCTGCTCCATTCGTCTGCCGAGACCATAGATGTATACATAGCATTATAGGCAAAATATAGACAAGACACGATGACTTGAGGCAAATTTGCTATAGTGACGAGTTGCATTAGAATGCCAGTAGAGGTAAAATCGATAGCGGCACCCTTGGAGCCATCTCCACCCCATCCAGGTAGTATTGAGTAGGAATTGTAACTTCCAAATCCCATTGCCCACGGGGAGATCTCATCCATGGAAGCATTCGCTTTCGAACGCACGTAAGCATCATAAAGCAGGCCGGTGGTCATGATGATAGCAGAAACACAACTAAAAATGTCAGCTGGTGGTTGCACACTCGGACAAGCCCACTTACAGAAGCAGCGTTATGCTGAGCCGAGTACAGCTTGGAGCCCTCCACCACCGGTGCGCAAACTTGGGGGATCTCCATCTTCTGGGCGTGTTTTCGAGCGCCACACCCTGGCTAGACGTTCTTTCTTGGAACTTCTGAAATTCTTTAGCTTCATTCCTTGTCAGGAATGGTGTTTTCTCTGTATATTCATCTGGGGCCTGGAGGAAAGACGCAATTCCGTATCCAATTGTAGCTAACAGCGGTTCGTTTTGCGTGCTAAGTAGTGTAACCATGCAGATGAGTATGACGATATTAGCGACTATGACACAAATCATGACCACAGAACTATATTGCAACTGACACTCCCCTCCCAACTTGGTTTTTTCAGCTAAACAGTAATCGATTGGCCATTCCTTGGATCTTAGTATCCCGAACTTGCGTCTTGGATCTGACTGAATAGCTTCAATGGTCCAGTTATCTGCGTCCGCTGAAATATTCCGATAGTCGCACACGTAACTGTTGTTGAGAAGGTGCGCGGGACCACATACCCAGTTGTTTCCGGAGTATTTGGAAACGTAGGTCTGGTATCGAAAATGTAATAACATGCTCAAGTTTGTTTGGCTATTAATGAGAGTATGATTGAACTGGCTCGCATTGAGAGCAGGGTTGATTTGGTCTGCAGTGATAGTATGGTTGGTTTGATTGGCAACAAAGATATTAGGTGGGGGGTCAGGTTTAGTGACCAAGATAACGCTTCCCCATGTCGAAAATTTCGATGCGGGGACTCCATATGTGTCCATACACTCATCATTGTTTAGGCGTGTCAATTGGCTTTCCTTGGCTTTTTGCAACATGCCGTTAGATTCATCACAAAGTCTATCTTGGTACCATCCAAATGGAGCCACAGTTGGGTTTTCGGAAAGTTCGTCGAATGTTGACCCATTTGCTTCTCTGTGCAGCGGTCCTCTTCGAAGACCAAGCGTTCCAATTCCAGACAAAGTGAAATTCTGGTAGATGCCCGTGACCCAACCAGTTTTGTCGTAAACCTTGGAAATGCTGGCAGAGCAGTCAACCGATGAAGTAGAGAAAATCCATGGTTTGACGACGAAGACATTGTAGTCTAGTGATTGTGTTTTTGTGAGAACTGCCGAATTCCAGCTGTGTTGTTGTTAATTTAAACGGCACTAAACATGTGTGCCCGGCGGTAACGACTTACAAGAAATGGAGTGGCAGAGAAGATAGCACAAGTAGGCCATATAGTAATTTCTTTCGTATACTAGTCAGATTTCGTAAACTTTGCAAGCCAATATCTCGATATTTTCCTCTTGCATGGGCAGAATCTATTTCCGTCCTGGTAGGTGAACCAATACACTGCATGGTAAAGTTGCTTGCAGCCTGTAGACACTTTAACATTCAATTAGCACTTGGTGCCTCTACCTTCTCGCGCCGATCCAGCCAGCAAAGCAAGGGGTGTGGATTTGGAATTCAAGCCACTTACAGTTCCCGCAATATTAATAATGATGTGCAGCCATGTATCTATGCTCCCTATTCGGCCACAATCTCCATTCATTAAAGTCCCAACTTTCATCTCACTCTTAGATACCACTAAACCAAAAATCGCAAATGTGGTATTAAGGAGGAGCACAATAAAAGTAGCACAAGATGCGATCAGAATACCACCCCTCCATCCGCTGTATTTGCTAAAAAACGTCTTCTTGATCTCTTGCTCGCTGTCGGAGGATTTGCGAGATGAATATTTGCCAGAAAGGAGAACATATCGCGCCCAATACTCCGACACATTTTCTCCGGCGGTCTTAAGACTGTCAAATGTTGTGGCTCGTGGTAATAGAGGGAGTGGTTTGAGGTATCTATTATAGCGTTGCTTGGTAAGTTGATCATGTAGACTGAGATGTACTTCGTGCTTGTGAGCATACCTATCGCTCGTGTCCTTGCTTCCAAAACTTTCGTCATCATTATTAGGAGAAGTGAAATGCGACAAGTGCATTGAGCTTCCGCCCTGACTTGAGATGTGAGTATTGACAGGATAACGACTTTCGGCCATCTTGAGCAGAAAACTGCTACTTCCATAAGTCGCGGAGACATAATGTCAGCTATTTGATTATTTCAAGGATGCTGTGAAGGACTTTCGCACAAATCTCAAACTGGTCGAATTCAATTGCCCATGTTTCAATTGACGCCGGCTGCAAATGAAATAAGGCTGAGAGAATCCTATCTTACATGCATACAGAGTAAGAACACAAATCGCTCTCGCTCTTTGGCCTTGTCAATTGGGGGCCACAGTATCATGCGCCATAGTAATATGCCTATAGTATATAGGTACCTACTATATCCGGTCACCTCGCCCCTATATTTAAAAAAACATGAGACAGTTCGCAAAATATGAAGGGGAGCCACAATTTTATGCTCGACAGTAGGCTCCTCACCGCAAAAATATCAATTTCATTGAACCCCCAAAAACAAAATTACAGAACCTTTCCCCGAACCTCCGGACCAAACTTCTCTCAAGGAAATATATAACTAGCCAGTTAACGTTGCCGCGTCATTGCGGGAAGGATTTAGTGCAACCCTATAGTACAAGTATCGTGGCTTTAAGTACCAGCATGGCTCGTTCCCGTCAACTCCAAAGAAGTGCGTAGTTGATTAATTGAGAGATGGTATAGCTCCCAAGTCAAGATTGAGACTTTGGCTCGCGAAAGCCTTCAAGATCATAAATCTCGCGGGAGGGAGCTCCCGTAAGGGATGACGTTTCCCTGTAAGCGACGTTTTGAATAATACTGGTACTGTACGGTAATATGGACAAGGATCAGATTCTGCCAAAATATACAACACTCGGAGGCTGGCAGCAGCTTACTTGAAAAACTGCCATTAACTGCCATAAATTTCGCTGGGCCCAAATGCACATTCTCACTTTGCCAAAGGAAACCGTAGCCTAAGCATGGAATGAAAGATGTCGATCTGATCAAGTTCCCACCGGATCCCACTGTGCTGCGCATCCTATTTATGGGAGAGTTTCGATTCGAGGGTCCACCGACATACAACCTTATTGGTACCTTGAGATTTCTGTGCCATCGTGCAAGGCAGCAAAGCTAAACACGCGATTCCCGGCCACCACATGTAAGGCATGTCACTTAATTCGATAACATCTGGGTTTGACATATTTTCAAGGCTAATGTTCCTCCGGTCACCTGACATCCTGGAAAATATCTAGGTATCGCTTATTGCCCGAAGGGGTTGATGTAGGGGTTCGAGAGTCCGGAGTCACAGTCGGCTAGTTGGCCTGGTATTTCGTCCCGGGTCCCTGGGAACTGTTGGAGAGGCTGGAAGTAAGGACGGGAGAGAGGTAGGCTATTACTAAGGGCGCCCAGTAAATCGACCCCCGGGGGTTTAGTAAATCGACTCCCCCCTCCCTCGCCTAATCCTGTGAAAATTTACTACCCCTAACTTAGTAGTAAACATAGTTCTATATCAGGGAAGTAGATTTTTTTCTAGCTAGTAGTAAGTTGATAAAAAAGATTTCTACTCTTAACTTTAAAGCTATTCCTACTTATTTAACAATACTATATCTTACCTAATATAGTATAACTACTAGAGTCTCCTAGTATCTAATTATGTTACCTTTAAGCCTAGAATGCTAAGTTATAATCTTAATTAAACTCCTACGCTCTTAAAGAGGCTTAACGACTTAATACTAGGCTTTATTAATAAGTAATAAACCTCTAGAATAATTATAATCTTATAATTCCGCTATTAATTTTAACGTAATCTAGACCTACGTTCTAAAGCTATACGCCTTTATCTATACAATAAACTTAAATCGATCCTCCTTAAATTATACTTTCTAAGGTTTCTAAGGTTCCTAAGAACTCGGTGTCACGAATCACGTAAGCATGTGACAAGTGAAGACCAGGCGGCGTCCTGACAGGTCGAGCACTATCATATCTCTTATAGCAAATAGGGATTTCATTACATTGTAATCACGTGACCATTTGCATCGCCAGTATCGACAGGCGATGTAGGCGACGGCGGAACATGAAGGTTCTATATGTCACGAATCACGTGTTACCACGGGAGATAGTGAAGACCAGGCGGCGCCCTGACAGGTCGAGCATTATCATAACTCTTATAGCAGAAGGG